CGATACATTTTGTGGTCTGCGCCGACTCGCGCATGTGATCCTCTCCGTGCTATCGTGTCTCTGGACCGGAGCAGAGTGTGTGTGCGGTGCGGTGGTTAGCGTGACAGCGCGAAACCAGACTTCTTTTTTTCCCTCAATGGAAAGCATATTTACACTGTTTGAATCGTTCCCTGTCCCCTATATAGTGCACTACGTGCCATTCACTGTACAGAAAATACTAATTCTGTGGACAAGTGACCGATTTCAGCCGCGGCTTCAGCGTCTAGAGTAGAGCGTTTTTATAGAGTAGGGGGCGGGCGCTTCGGATTCTAGAGAGCATTTGATTGGACAGAAAGTTTGATGAGAAGCTGAAGTACGATGTTGACGAACTGCAAGATTTGAATGCTTTTATCAGACTAACATATTGATACTAACACCCAAAAAACTTTAAATGTAGGTGTTTTATTCCCCTTATATTCTCACTATATCATGCTATATGAGGCATAAAAGCCTGATGTATCAAATATGATACTCAACAAAAACCACATATACAAACCTTTTTTAGATTTTTTTTTTTTTTAAGATTTTGTATAAAAGTTCAAAAAACTGTTCCATTTCATTTCAATTCCATTACATTTCTCTTGACTGTTATGCATATGTCAGTCTTTACAGGGTTAAGATACAGCTCAGTTTTTTTTAAAACACACAAATAAAACTCTCACATAGTTTGCACACGGCAAAGGCGTTATATCCGATTGCTCGAGAAATGCACATTCTGTCATGTCTGTTTTGTAATTTAGCCTTATTTTTATGAGATTTGACAATATGACCTCTCGTTTCCAGAGCTCAGACACCCCTCTACCAGCCTATCCTCTTTCACTCGTTCTTCTGAGGACCGATAGCATGAAAAAACACTCTCAGCATGGCACATTCTTTCTGTTTTCAACACGGACTCTTTCACAATATCTTCTTTTCAGCTCCTCGCATGGATGGCAAATGCAAAGAATAGGCAAACACCCAGAAAAGACTACAGAATGACTGAAAATGTGGACGGCATGGAAACGCTTTACTGTTACATGCAAAACTTTACAGTACCACATCAAATATCAAATAAAACAGCACATACTGCCATCTGCGTTGCAGACTGTTGACGATTCCTCTGCAGTTCTGCTGGAATCTCAAAACGCAGCTGAAGTGGACGAGGAGCTGTTTGCACAATAGTCTTATCTATCAAAATTGCTTCCTGTTTTTGCGAATCCCTCCCCACGCAGCATTTCAGACCCCACTGGAGTGACCTAATAACCCACAGCAACCCCACCAAAACATTAACACAACAGAGCCTCAAATACCATACGAAAAGGCCATTCAAACCCATCAATACACAATTAACACACTGATTAGCCTTTGCATCGCAGCACAGAAAACAGAGCTTTGCTGTATAGGCTATAATGGAGATTTACATCACAGCTAACAGAATCAACATGTTTTTATATTGTGAAATATTATTACAATTTCGAATAACTATTTTATTCCTGTGATCAAAGCTGAATTTTCAGCATCATTACTCCAGTCTTCAGTGTCACATGATCCTTCAGAAATCATTCTAATATGCTGATTTGCTGCTCAGAAAACATTCCTTATCATCATCAATGTTGAAAACGCTTCATTTCATGCTTCAAAACCGAAAGTTCAAAACAGCAGCATTTATTTGAAACATAAATAACTTTTGAACCATTTCAAATGTCTTTACTGTCACTTTTGATAATTTAATGCATCTTTACCAAACAAACGTTTCAATTTATATATATATATAAAAAAATATCAAACTGACCCCAAACTTTTGAACAGTAGTGTAAGTTTGCATAAAAAATTCCCTACTTGTTGTCTAATACGAACACCAGCACAATTCACGAGACCATAGACATAAATTAGTGTTATATTTACTTACTTAATACACTATAAAAAATGAGTGTAATTTTAACTTTAAAATACTGTAAAAACGCTATGGGAAAAACATGTTGATAGGTTAACAGTAAGTTCCTGTACTATATACAGGGAAAAACTGTAAAAGATCTAACCAGACATTTCATGTAATTTTACAGTAAAATGCTGTTAATTGTACAATTATTAGAAGTAAAAAAAATTAACAAATCAACGTATAATTTACAGTAAAAAAACTGTAAACTGATATTCCCAGAATTCCCTGCAAGACACTCCACATTTGAAAGTATTTTCTTTAATGAATGTTTATTGAATTATTTAAGTATCATGTGTGTTACCATGATGGTGTTTAGTGTTTGTGTGAATAACTCTGTGCACCTTCTATATATTAGTATATACTTCAGATTGTGGAAAACCTACTTGTGATGAACAGATTCTTCATATTGTGGTCTCTTTTACCACCTTTCTATTTTACCGGTTGTCAATTTATATTAAAGATACAAAACAGATTTTAGTAGCAGTGTCCATTGTTGAACTGTTTCTTGTTTGTATATTACAGTTTTATACTGTAAAATGTACAGTTTGTTATGTAAATGTTTTTACAATTTTACTGTATTTTTTACAAAATTATTCTGGCAACCACAGCTGGCAAAATTATTTTTGTAAAAACTACA